TACTGTGATACCTCTCTGCCCTTCCTTCCCCCTCCCATTGGAAAGAGTCAAGAGAGGTGAGGAGAGGAGCCACAGGGCCAGGGAAGGAAGGTGTCCTAGTCAGGTTTCAATTGCTGTGATTTGACACTAAGACCAACATTAACTTGAAGGGAAAGGGTTTATTTCAGTGTACAATTCTCAGGTCATATTTCTTCATGAAGGCAAAGTCAGGGCAGTAACCTGGAAGCAGGAACTGAAGCAGAGACCATGGAGGAATGCTGTTTACTGGCTTGCTCCTCATGGCTTGCTCAGCCTGCTTCCTTATAGAAACCAGGATAACCAGCCCAGGGGTAGTGCAACCCACAGGGAGCTGGGCCCTCCCACATCAGTCATAAATGAAAAAAAAATGCACCACAGGTTTTCCCACAGGCCAATCTAGTTGGGGCATTTTCTCAACTGAGGTCCTTTCTCCCAAATAGCCCTAGCTTATATCAAGTGACATAAAACTAGCCAGCATGGGCAGAAGGATTTAACTAGGGAGAGAACTAATTAGAGAAGAGATTCAAGGGAGTCTTTAATTACTAGGTGGTCATCCACACACTATCCTGTTGGTGGCTGTGGGCAGTTCTCCCCGAAGGCTGCCTGTTCCTGACCCTCTGAGGTCGTATGAGTGAGGAACATTGATGCTTTGGACTCTTCAATGAGGACTGGCAGGTGATGATGTTAAAATTTTGCCTAAGCATATTTTTTTAAGTTTTATTTTTATGTTATGCATATGGGTGTTTGCCTGCATGTATGTCTGTGCATCACATATGTGCAATATCTATGAAGCCCAGAAGAGTACATCAGATCCCCTGGAACTGGAGTTACAGGTATTCGTTTGTTTGGTTTGTGAGCCATCTTGTAGGTTCTGGGAACCAAACCTGGGTCCTCTGCAAGAGCAGCAAGTGCCATTAACTTCTGAGCCATCATCTCTCTAGCCCTGCTGTATGCAATTTTTATTTTATCAATCTAGATATACAGTTGATCGTGCATAACAATTATACACTCACTGTATATTATGTAACCATGACATCTTCATAATTTAGACCATTTTCACACACACACACACAGAGAGAGAGAGAGAGAGAGAGAGAGAGAGAGAGAGAGAGACCCTGTATCCATCTTCCTGTCCACAGTCCTCTGCAACCACTAGTGTATTCTGCAGCATTGCCTGCTCTGGACATGATACATAATAGAATGAGACCACATGTGACCTTTGTGATCTGACTTCTTTCATGATGTTTTCTTTTTTCTTATTTTTTTTTGCTTGTTTTGTCCTATTCTGATTTGTTTGTTTTTAGTTTTTTTGTTTGTTTTTTGTTTTTTATTTTTATATATTTGAATTGCAAACAAGATTGAATTACATGACGATCCCAGTTCCCTTCTCTC